GCCCACGAGTTTTCTCTCTTTTACTCTTCTGATTCTCTCCCCCATCCCAGTGCGGGGGAGTGAGCGAGTGGCTGTGTGGTGCTTAGCTACCGGCTGGGGTTAAACCACGACAAAAATATTCACCATCTTACTTCCCTTTTTCAAACTGCATCATTTAAATACACATTGTTGCAAATAACCTAAAACAAGTAGCAAATACGAACAGGAGAAGTTCCGCTTTTCCCAGCAGAGTTTGATTTTATGCGCTCCCCAAGACACCCCAGTTCCTCTCCACATTACAAAGCCAGAGCTCCTCATTGCTCACCCAAATCACATAAGTGAGGGACAGAAAAAGAAACCGCAAAGAGACGGTGGGGCAGAGAGAGGCCCAAGAAGGTACCCCAAGCTCCCGGGGTGTGTGTGTGCAGGAGCTGGGGTGAGCTGGTGGGAAGGGAGCTCAGTTTGCAGCGGCAGCTTTCGGAGTGTGCAGCTCCTCAAATGAAATTTGTGCCTTTCCTCAAGCCCCTTGCAGGCTGTAATGCTCACAGAGGGCGTCTCTGCCAAAAAGAGGAGGGAACTGCCTTATGGAGATACAGCGGGGTGCAAGAAGCAGCTGCCAGAGCTCTGCCTCATCCGGGATCACGTGCAAGACACAACGTTTCAGGCCATCTGATCCTCTCCAGGTCCCATGTCCTGCTGCTCCATCTCATATAGGTATAAAAAAAAAAATAAAAATCTATCGCACTTTACTTGCTAGCGCACAAATGCTGACCTCTGGCAATTCCAGACTTGAGGCACACCGCCTCCCACTGATAAGAAAAGTTCTTATTTAAACAAAAATCTTCAAATTCATCTTGTAAGAGGCCAAAACCCAACCAGAGGCACCTAACTCGCCCTGTGTCCCTGCACTGAGTGCACTGAATGGGACACCACACTCCACCACGGTGGGTATGTCCTTGCTGCGGTGACGAGGACAGCAGGGATGAGGGAGCGAGCTGCCACTGCAGAGCCATTACCTGACATCTTCTCTGAGCTTCTTGCTCTCCTTGTAGTGAAGGAGCCACTTCCACCTCCCGCTTCTGTTCAGCTTCTCCAGCACCTTCACCACCTCTTTCAGTTGGCCTGGGGAGACAGCAAGAGCCAGAGGATAACCGAGGGTGGAGAGGGTGCCTGGGGGTCTCTGGCCCAACCCCTGCTCAAAGTTGGGCCACCTGAGGTTGCTCAGGGCTTTGTCTAGGTGAGCTTTGAATATCTCCAAGGATGGAGATTCACAATCTGGGTCGTGAAACTGGGATCCTGTCCTGGTGTTTGAACACACTCGCCGTGAATTTTTTCCCCCTACTATCTAAAAGGATAAGAGCAACTTGTCCCTGTCACCTCTTGTCCCATCACTGTGCATCTCCAGGAGGAGTGTGGCTCCGTTTTCTCTGCCCCTTCCTATTAGGGATCTGAAGGCAGCAACAAGGTCTCCCCTTTGCCCTCCCTTCTCCAGGCTGAATGTCCTTGTACAACCCCTGCTCCAGCCCCTGACCATCTTGGTGGCCCTCGCTGTACTTAGATGTTTTTGGGAGCCCTGACCCGGATGCACTATCCAGATGGGGTCTACAAATGTCAAATAGAAGGAAAGAATTGCCCCCGCTAAAGCGGGAGCAGAGGACGCTCATGGCAAGTTTTTGGAAGGTGTCGGCAAACCAGCGGACAAGGCCGGGAGCCAACACTGTGCGTTTCCATCCAAGCGAGAGGCCACAGCAAGACTCACCCAGCGTTACCATTTCCAACACCTCGTTGTCCGACACTATGAAGCCACCGGTTTGAAACAGCTCCTGGTACGTGCGACCTGTTATATCTTCGGGGCTGTCCACTCCGGCAAACACCACGTTCGGACAGTGCTTTAGCTTCAGCAAGCACGGGACCTGCTCAAGGCAGACATGCTTTTGCGCATACAGCGGTGTTTCAATAGCATCTGCACCTCTCTGCAGCTCACAGCCGCTCCTGGGAGACCTGGGGAGCCCACCCTGTCCCCTGTCTGCATCACCCCGATGCTCGTGTCTCCATAGCCCGACCTCAAAGCCGTGGACAGCAATACAGGGAGTTACAGGCGGGTCAGTCTGCTGCAATATTCACTGGAGCCCATGAGCCAAAGCCCGGCTGAACTGCCCTGTTACACAAGATAAGCCCAGCCTGACTCCTTTGAGCTGGGCTACTCTAAGTGATGTTATTCAGCGATCAAAAATGGAGACAGAAGAAAAGCAGAACTGACAGGCTTCGTGTTTTTGAGATACTTGTTTTTAACAGCTCTTCACGAAGCACTGTTCTTTCAGTGGAGAGAACAGTGTATCTGCAGAGGCTGACAATTAAATCTACAGCTATATATAGCATAAAATTTAAAAACCTTTAACATGGATCCTGATATTCAAAAATGGTGCTGGTAGAAAAAAAGGACAGACTCAGGCCTTACATTGTGGATGTGCGAGGAAATGTCCTCGTTCCTGATGACGACAAGCAGCCTGTCAGCGTCCGGGTGTTTTGCTTCGCAGAAGCTCAGAGGCTCGATCTCCACGTGGCCATTTTTCTTCAGCAAGGACTGAAACAGAAATGGTGTAAGAAGGTTTGTACAGAGAATATCTTCACAACAGCGGTGCCACACTGCCGGCACACGTGTCTGGGGACAAGGATTGAAGAACGAGGCAGCGACCCCAACCAGGGACCCTGGTGTCAAGGGTACCCTACGGTGTTTGTCTGCCAAAGGCACTGCACACTCCAGGCCGGGGCTCCAGCCAGAGGGGGAAGAAGCAGCCGTTTATCTTTGTTGGCAAAAACCTTTTAGAAAACCACCTTGAGCATCTCACCGTACCATGCATCGGGCCTCCTTGCTATTTTGGAGCAGAAAATCTTCCCATGCAATCACCCTCCCTGAGTTTCCAACCCTTTAATGAGAGCTCAAGCAAAAGCCACCCTGGGGGGGTTGAGTTTGGGCTGCTCCTGCATGAACTCTGACCTGTTTTGGCCCGGGGGATGTTCAAGTGACAGGACAAGGAGGAATGGCCTCAAATTGCGCCAGGGGAAGTTTAGATTGGATATTGGGAAAAATTTCTTCACCGAAAGGGTTGTCAAGCGCTGGAACAGGCTGCCCAGGGGAGTGGTTGAGTCACCATCCCTGAAGGTATTTAAAAGACGTGTAGGTGTGGCACTTAGGGACATGGTTTAGTGGTGGACTTGGCAGTGTTAGGTTTCTGGTTAGACTCGATGATCTTAAGGGTCTTTTCCAATCTAAATGATTCTATGATTCTAATTTCTGGTTGTGGGAGCCGAGATGAAATAGCAGAGGTGGCTCCTGGCTCAAGGGAACCAAATGCCATCTGTGTCGGGTTGAGCAAGCTCGCCCTGCGCCTGCTCCTGCTGCCCTTGGCTCTCACCCCAGGGCCACCCGTCCCCGTCCAGGCCGGCAGGACCAGCCGTTACCTTCACTCTTGCAAAGAAAGGGTCCTTGCCCATCTCCACCAGGTAGAACATGCTGGTGCGGCCGCAGGCCTCCTTGGCCACACTGTGCAGGCGGAAACGCAGCGTGCTGCACAGGTCCGCGATCATTTCCTCGAAGGCGGCCATCCTCCCAGGGAGGGGCGCACACGTCCACTTGCTCGTGGCCTCCCCGTGTGCCGGGACCGGCCCTCCGCCCTCTCTCCCCGTGTCAGCCCTGCTCAGCATCACCCTGTTGAACTCGGCGTACTCGTCGAGGATGACAGCGATGTCCCCCCGCGAGTCCTTTAGCTTATTATCACATTTGAGCTTGCTGAAGTGGAAGGGAACTGCGTGGCCCTGGCTCTGGGATCTGGCCCTGCTCCTCTCGTCGCAGAGGGTGTCCTGCCATGGGCTACACGGGTCCCCATGCCAGCTGCTTCGCCGGTGCCAGCCGAGCCCGCTTGGCCACGTGTTGGAGGGCAGGATCGTCACCCGCAAAGGGCTCCTGCTCCGTGGGGAGAGCTGGGTTGGAGCTTCTTGCACAAGCAATGTCTCAGACATCACCTGGGGAGAAAAGTCTTTTGGAAAGATGCTTTTGGAGGTAGAAAAGGGTGGTTTCCCACTCCTTAGGATTTGTTTTAGCTTATAATGGAAACGGAGACACTCCATGTCCAAAGTGTGCTGGGTGATTTCCTCAAAACCCCTCCAAGTGCCCATCAGTGACCTTAACAAATAAGACTGCCCCGCACAGTGGCTGTGCCTCTTTGAAGGCTGCAAATTTCCCATCCTCTCCCGGCACTTTTTGGTGACCACGAAGTTCCGGTAGTCCTTGGCGATCCCCTGGCTGTCCCTAATATTGACATACGGTGGAACGTGCCCGCTGCTGGTTTCCCTTGGGCTGATCGGCCAGCCGTGCTCAGCCCATGGGCAGCCCCCCTCCATGCCCAGTGAGCCCCAGTCCTCGCTGCGCCCCTCTGTGTGCACCGAGCTCACGGAGGAGAAGTCGCAGTTAGTCCTTGTGCCTGCAGCACCCACGGATCTCATGCTGTAGGAACCCCTGGCTGTAAGCAGGGACTGTGAAGTCCCCCCAGAATACTCCTGGTCTGAGTTGCCGGAGAAAGTCTCAAACAGATCTTCAAAGGTCAAGCCCATGCATCTGTCTTTTTTGCTGGGGAGCTGCTTTTCCCTCAGGAGCACGTCCAAAATATCCTCAGTGTCACTAAGCTCCAGGCTCTCTTCAGAGATTCCCCTGCGTCCATGTAACGGCAACATCGGGAAGGGGAGACTGGGGGTTTCTCCCTCTCCCACCTCCATGCTGGCATAGTGCAGATCAGCAAACGCTTCGGATCCCTCGGGCTCGTGCTTGCCCTGATTGCACACAGACTGGGGCTCGCACAGTGGCATGAGCACCTCCCCTCCCAAAAAAGGTGCAGGACTGGCAAGAGGGACGCTGCTTCCTCCTTCTGAATCCTCAGGCAGGATGGGTTCCTTCTCATGGCTCCCTACCGCATCCACTGCTTGGCCCCCAGGGCTGGGGCACTTGTGGCAGGTGCCCACGCAGCAGGACCACGGGGCACCGTCTGGAGCCAGACTCGTGCCAGGAGAGAGCGTCTTGGGGTGCACACTGAGGACTGAGTCAGGCTCAGCGCTGTGCAGACCTGCCTTGTGACCATGCGGAGGAGAAGGCGGCATCGATCCCAGGTCACCTGGCACAAGCGTATCCGCGGGGGAGCTCTCCTCCAGCTCTGCATCGCACGGACCCGTGTCTTTTTTCATGTCTTCTGCACATCTGAGCTTTAAGGAGCCGTCCAGGCTCTCGGCAGCCACGCTCACCTCTGCAGCACCTACTTGCTCACAGGACTTCCCACGTTGGCAGAGGACTGGCCGCCGCTCGCTTTGCTCTGCAAAATGGTGGTGGAGGTCTGCGTCTCCGCCATGGGGGAGAGGGTCCTGCTGGCGGGGAGAAGCAGGAGCTGAGCCTGCACGGCCAGGTGGGGACAGGCTGTCTGGGGAGCTCTGCTGCCACCTGGGGTGCTCCTTCATGGCAGACATCCCCTCTTTCACCGAGGAGGAGGGCTCTGATTCCAGCAGGTCACGAAGAGAGGTCTCTGGCTCCTGCGGTGGGTTAGTCACCACCCCTGTGTTCATTTCATCGCTCCTGGGGGACTTCTCTGCACCGAGGCACACATCACCGCTCTCCCCAGCTTCAGAGTCACCTGCTAAGGCTGTACAGTTGAAGGCGAAGCCCTGGCCTTCACCTGCTCCCGAGGGCTCATCCAGCACATCTGTCTGGTTGGCAGAAGGGCTGCCATGCTGCTCTTCCACCACAAACTTGTTCTCTTCTTGGTTTGATTCACCAGTGCTCAGCAAAGTGAGGTCAGCATAAACGTCACCTCCGCGCCTTTGGGAAAGGCAGCTGCTCCCTCCCAGGCCACTCTGCGATGGAGACTGGACGCTTGCCATGGCCTCCTGGTCCTCCTGAGCAGCCCCCAGGTCTGTTGCTTCATCAAGAGACGTGAGGCAGACAGAACTGGAGTCAGGGGACAAGGTTAGAGACAGTCCCTGGCCACACAATGACTCGAGGCCAGCTGTGCCGGCAGCTTTGCTCCCAGCAGGCACCCACATTTCTGCAGAGGGCGCATGCTCCTTGTCTTTCTGCTCCAAGCTGTCCCCGAGCATCTCTCCGGCAGGTCCCACGTTGCCTGTAATGCTGTCTGGCTGTGCCCCACAGACAAGGCTTGGATCAGATGGTAACGGCAGCATCAACCCGCTGTCATGGGGCAACCCCACATCGGCTGGACTGGCTGCGTGTGCCAAACTAACACTGTTTGTCTCTGCATCTGGGGTGGCCAGAGCCTCCCAGGGCTCTTGCAGCGTGTCCAGGCTTGGTGCCATCTCACCAGGCAGCCCTTGAGGGCCAGTCTCAGTCCCAGTCCCATCTGACAGCACTGGCGTCGATCTCCCTGGGCAGGGGGATGCTAAGGCAGCAGGGCTGGGCACAGGGCCCTCTCCAGGAATTGGACATACTGAATTCACTGGCTTCTGCTCACTGCATTCATGCTCCATGTCGGCATCACTGCTTTCAGAAAATGCTAAATCAACAGGCCCCAGGACTGTGCTTTCATATTCAGAGTCCTCCTTCTCTTTTTTTCCCTCCTCCACCTCCTCCTCCTCTTTCTCTGGATGTCCAAAGGGGTCTCGTGATTCCCTCCCTTCCCCACTGGCTCCATCGGGCTTTGCACTTTTGGGATGCGTTTCTAAGGGCATCAAATCACAGGCATGTTGCGGTCCGTCGCTGGTGGCCCAGCTGCCGTCCTCAACCTCCATACAGTGCCCAGCATCTCCCATGTTCTCCCTGTCCTCGGAAGGGCCGGGGCCACCCCCTGACCCTGCTGCGCACGAGCTCTCCTGCTGCTCTCCAGGTCCATACAGCGCACTCGGTGCATCACTCCAGGGAGCTGTACTGGGATTCAGGGCTTCGTTGCATGGGTTTTCCCTTCCCAGCGCAGGTGGCGGCTTGCCGGCATCGCCAAGCTCATCAGAAGGGCTGGGGGCGATCGTAGCATCCGGCAGACCCTCCTTGGGTGGTTCCTCCTGAAACAATACAATTCAGAGGTTAATCTTCAAGGGAGGCAAAGGCAGGAGGACATGGATATTTTAAATGCTCAAGCTTTGTGAGTACAACCATCCCAACAGCAACTGGGGAGATTAGTTTGAGTTTGTCTCTAAAATAAGTCCAGGTTGAATCCTTACCCTACGTGAGCCACTACCATCCCCGCTGCAGCCAGCAAGGAGAGTCCCCCAGACAGACAGGGAAAGGTTTTGAAACTTTCTACCTTCCTTACACCATGAAATGGCTTAAAAAATAGGCCAAACTGCAGGGGCCGTCAGCCGGTGCCCAGAGGTAATGTATGTAGCAGCATCCTCTTATCTCTACTGAGTTTATCTGTCCAAGCAAGCTATGTCAGGCAAATCGTGCCTGACAAATTTGGTGGCCTTCTACGATGGGGTTACAGCATTGGTAGCTAAGGGAAGAGCAACTGATGTCATCAACGTGGACTTGTGTAAAGCATTTGACACTGTCCCGCACGACATCCTTGTCTCTAAAATGGAGAGACGTGGATTTGACAGATGAACCACTCAGTGGATAAGGAATTGGCTGGATGGTTGCACTCAAAGAGTTGC